ATATATATATATATATATAGATATCTGTATAAGTTCCTTTTTGTTCGTATTATTGTTTTAATTTATAATTTCTAGAGCAAATGTTTTAAACTGATGACTGATTTAGCATTTAGCATTAGTAACATGCTAACAACAGCATTTGTCTCTTTACTTTGACAGTGTTCCGGAGCTTGTAACCACGAGGTGGGCTGTGAGAATAACTGAAATCGTTATGTTTGTTACCAGGTATGAAATACCTGAATAACTGAAATGTCATTTTATTTACATGTAAAAGCAGTCTGAAGCAAGCTGTCTCCGTGTGTTCCGGAGCTTGTAACCACGAGGTTCTGTTTGTTACCAGATGAGCTATCTATATGCTGTGCTATGAATAAACGTCTGGTTGGAGCCATAAAGACATCAAGTGTGCCTGAATTAAACACAACGCAAACGAGAGAGTACACAACTGCTACACACACATGAGCCCAAACAAAGCTGTGTATAAATACAAGAGGGGCAGGGGAATGGGCCACTTACAAATCAGATCTAATCAAAATCCCAGTATTAACAGAGGGACACTTGGCGTGTGACGGCTGAAATACAGTGACAAGGAGTTTTTTTTTCCAGTTTATTTTGTTTGTTTTGTATTTGCATCAGGTAGAACGAGAGGAAATTGCCTCCACTTTCAGTAGTTGAAGGGATTGTTCTTCATCAAGAACTCCGCCTGGAACAAGTCAAACCAAAAGAGATGATTGTGATCAAAACCAAGAAGACAGATGATAAGAATGAGTTAATACCAGTGCTGAGGGTAATACCAGGAAGTCCACGGGGTCCTGTGGTCCGGCTGTGCAGCATTCCATCAGGCCCTGGGTCAGAGTGGGCATGACATGCTCCATCAGGTAGTTCCTCATGGGGAGCAACTTGGCCTCCAGCACCTCCTCCTCCTGCTTCATCACCTCCTCCAAACTCTTAGTCTGACACATATTAATGCATCATTGCATGACCTCAACAATTCCTCAACAATTCCAGCAGAATACATTATCAGCCTCTGTTAACATGTCTCCCCCTATTATGAGCCACAACCTCCCTTAAATGGATATAGATGAGGACAGAGACTCAAACTGCAAACGCTTAACGTGACACGCACACTGCTGCATCTGTCTGGTGAATACACATTGTGCACATCTAGACCCAAGTTCACAACAGAGCAAACTCCATCCAATGAGGAAGACCACGCCTTGGTAAAACCTAATAAGTTGAGAGTCCTTTTATACTACACGCAGCCTGACCTGCAACTTGTGTAATATCAGCATTGGTATGTTTGTGAAGCATCACATATCCTTCTTCAAACAACATCCCAATAACCAGACCCCAGCTCTCCTCCCAGTACCTACCCACTCCTCCCAGTGTGCAGCCCTGTGTTTGGCCTCCTCTGCCTCCTTCCTCTCCTCCTCAGCTTTCTCCTGGGCCTCTCTCCTCATCTTCTCCTCAGCCTTCCCCCTCTCCTCTTCCTCCACCTCCTGGCTGGCGAGGCCGTAGTTCCTGGGCTGGCCCACCATGTCGAGGATCTTCTGCATCAGCAGCAGGCAGTCAGGTTCATCGCTACTGGTGATCTCTGGAGAGGACGACAAGGAAAACAGTGAGGTTTGATGATATAATGAAAATATCAATGTCAGTGAAAGGCTTTTCTGATGATTTACTTCAAACGTGTTTTATTTGGCCCTCATCACGGTTAAGGTCGAGCTGGTCGATATGGCTTATAAATACTGTCTAGAGATTTTTGAACAATGCTGTGATAAGATATTATATCTCAGTATTTTCTCTAAAATAACATGACGACTTGATTTAACCATTTAATGCTTATATTCATACACATTCAGCTGATCTGTGTAGTAAACTCATCTGAATTTAGAGGGAACACAGCATGTGTATGACATTTTAGATGGCAGAATTTCCTGATATTGTCTGAGTGACTCTCTGAGGTTGTCTGCTATCATTTTAAAGTGAAATTATAATTGAAATATGAAAATGTGAAAATGTGAAAATGTGAAAATATGATCTAATATTTCTTCATTGTGTATTATTTATTTATTGACATAACTTATTAATAAGTGACTGGCAGCAGATATGAAAGCTCAGGTGGCTCACGGTGTTGCGCAAAGGCCCAAGAAAAATGTGCTGTTTTGCTCTAGTGACATTGAATCCAGCTCAACACGATTTTTCGTAGGTGGCTTTGATGTACTGCTCACCTTTACAATCATATTGGCAGCAGTTGATATGAGATACAGCTTGACATTCTCCAGTAATATTTTGTGAACTTGTGACAGATGTAGTGACACAGGCAGACCATAACTGCTGCTGTTAGATGAATACAATGTGCGTAAGCTTACAGAAACCAGTTAGTTTGAAAACCAGTTGGTACATAAAACTGGCGGACCAAAATCGAGTCTATTCGATATTTCACCCATCTGTAATTCAAGGCTTCAAAAATGCAAAACGTAGTCATGCGTCATGGATTACCCAGGTACAGAGGGGTGATGTCCAGCTCATCAAAGTAGTTTACAACAGTTTCCTCCTCCTCGTTATTCCCTCTGTATCTGGCCAGTCGTCGCAGGAAGTGCTCCTGCTCGTAGTTGTGGTCCCGTACCAGCCTCTCAGGCAGCATCATCACCCGATCCTTCAGGAAGACGTCCGACGCGTCCAGGCACAACACAAACTCTGTGGTACACACAAGGAAACCATTTAAAATACTACAACTCTGGACACTTTGTATCAATATCGCAAAGAGCACCTTGGTCTTTGTTTACAGTGACATATTCGTAGCTTGTCCTTGTGTTTGCTACATGGTCTACAAGCTTCAATCTCACGTTCAACATGGAAAATACCACCACACAGACCTGGCATCATCTTCTTGCTGTATGAAGACATCTGGGATGCTCTGTCTTCTGATTCATGTTCTTCAGCTAAACATGAAAACATACATATGTTTATGTATGTATAGTAATACTGAGTGTATGCAGTTGTGTAGTAGGAGCTATGTGTCAGCGTCTCACCATAGAAGAGCTCTTGAGCTTGTTCATATGTCTTGGGGAAGCCGTCCAGAACAAAACCTTGTTTTCTGCATGGATTAGACATCAGCTTGTTCCTCACCACCTTCATCAACAGCTGGTCATCCAAAAAACCTAAAGGAGAATGAAGTTGACATTACACTGTGGAAGAATAATTAAAGTGGCATTCCAATGATTTAGTATTGCACTTTCATAAAGTTGGGAGACTTGTTAAAGACAGTTAAAAAAAAAAAAAAAAAAAAAAAAAAAAAAAGATCAAAGCAAACACTTCCCATAATGAAACTAAGATATCATAATAGAACTTTCTCCCCTCAAATATAACTAAGTTCAGCTCAGGTTGTCTCTGCATTGCTCTCTGCAAACTGACACTGTAGATAAAGACGGTGATTGAACGGTGACGTGAACCAATGACTAATCAGTGAGGACAACAGACAAAGTGATTTTTTCTGGGGGTGTATGCAGGTGGTACCGGGCGGGTAAACCCTGGTTGTCACAGTGTGTACCTCCGTTCTGCTCCATACTGTCCTTCAAGCTGTTCAGAAGCTCCTTGGCCTCTGCTGCAGAGTCCTCATTCTCTGCATCTGGATCAGCATTCCTCACATTATCTTCCTAGAGATGGAATTGTTAGGACATTGAAAGACATGTACAGGAAATGTATGTCCATTGGTGTTTAGTTAACAATAGCCACTGTAAATTTTGTTGACAAATTTTCTTTGTTCATAACTAAGACGAGACGATGAGGAGACAGCACAAATTGTGATATCAACATGCAAAACTGTTGACGAACATTTTATGATCTCTCTATGATCTCTCTTTATTTTCGTCATCAGCCACCTTCTCTTCCCCTCTTTCTGTCACACTCTCTCTCAAACACAGACGCGTGCACGTACACAAGCTCTGTCGTTCTTGTCTCAGTCCACAGTCCTGACTATTATGCTAGTGTAATGCATAAATTCTGCGGGTTGGATCTGGTTCGGGTGGTTGATTTCAGCATGTTGGCTGATTGGCTGTCATAACAGCCAGGTGGGTGCGACTGAACCGCCCATCACTACTGAGCACAGTCAGGAGGACTGCATTCTTAATAACTGAAAAGTTGACGAAAATGTAATTACTTTTTGTCTACTAAAACTGGACTAAAACGTTTTAGGGATGAAAATGACCAAACTGTTAAGCATTTTGGTCTAAAGACTAAGGCAACCTAAAATAGCTGCCGAAGTTAACACCGACACTAGTGCATGTGTGTGTGTGTATAAGTGCCTTGGAGAAGCTCACCAGTTGTGAGATGGTTTCAGAGATGGTCTCCTTCAGTGTGATGTATTGGAGTTTATAGTATTCACTGATCTGTCTTGACACCGTGCTCTTCCCCACTGCAGGAGGCCCCAATACACACAGGCGGATGGGCTGGAGAGAACACACTGACATGGGTTATCTAGAACAAGTAGCAACTGTATATCTATGAAGCTTTGATATAGTTTATCCATTTCATTATGATTTAAACAGTTCATATTTTTAACACTAGCAATTCTTGGGACTGGGACATGCGTCTGCTTTACCATTAGTCCCCTGGCTTTCTGGTATTCCTCTCCCACCAGCTCTATGTTGTCCACCAGACCAGTCTCACAAAACCAGTTGATAGAGAACAGTTCCTTGATATGGACAGCCTCCATGCGTAGGTTGACAAGCAAGGAATCAATTTCCATTGTCTGTCAGGGGAAGACATACGTATGTCAAGAGAGCTTAAAGGAATAATTAAACATTTTGGGAAATAAGCTCATTCCCTATTTATTTCCGAGTGAGATGACAAGATGTATATCAACCTAGCGTCTGTGTGTTAAGTCCGGAGTCAGGACGAGGTTAGCCTAGCTTAGCATAAAGTTTGAAACAAGCAGCCTCCAGCAACATGCAAACATGAGATATATATCCATCTTCTCATCTCGCTACCAGAGAAACAAAAGCAAATACTTGTATCTCTATAAATGCTGCACTGTTTTTTTAAGGCTTTTTACAATTTTGAGCTGGGAAGAAGTCAGCTCTCATTTCTAGGTCAATAGCAATCAAACATTACATAAAAACAAAATCTCCTGAGCATTGCAGTAAAGTGTATTTTAAACTAGTATGACATACACTCAAGTCCTTAGTGAGAAAGGCCTCCTCAAATGGCCTTTTCTGGACCTTCCCTGGTCTAATTATTGAGGTAAATTCCTGTTGGAGAGAAAACTCACATATCATTATATCACCATAAAGTCAGGTCAAGCATTTGAGTTTACTCTATCACTGTCACAAATGTAATAAAACCTGATATTTGTGTAAAACTGATTTGTCATTTGTGTAAAACAATAAAGTTTATTATAAACTAATTCGGCTGCACGGTGGTGTAGTGGCTGTCACACGAGGGGCTCGGGTTCGAGCCCCGATCCCGGGTGGTCCTTCTGTGTGGAGTTTGCACGTTCTCCCCGTGGGTTCCCTCTGGCTTCCTCCCACAGTCCAAAGACATGCAGCTTGGGTTATTTGGAGACTCGAAATTGCCCATAGGTGTGAATGTGAGCGTGAATGTTTGTCTGTCTCTACATGTGCCCTGCGATAAACTGGCAACCTGTCCAGGGTGTACCCTGCCTTCGCTCAATGTCAGCTGGGATCGGCTCCAGTGCCCCGCGACCCTGAATAGGACAAGCGGTTTGGATAATGTAATGGAATGGAATAAACTAATTCTGTTTTTACATAACCAGCTTTTAATCCGTGTCTAATCAGTTGCTATACACACCTTCACAATGTCCTCCAAGGTATTGTTGGAAAAATCCACAGCTAGAAGGTAATACGGCTCGGGCTGATGTTCAATCACATTCTGAATCACACTTAAACAGAAATAAATCACATTGTATAAATATTTACTTTATATCTAATGTATATGTCACCGAATTAAGTCAATAAGGATCAGAGTCATTAAAACTTTTTGCAAAGCAGGGCTCTGTGGAATCTATACATCATTTTTCAAAGCTATCAAGAAAAAAACGTATATGTCCAACCTTGCCAGGTCACTGATGTGAATCGTGGGGACAATGTTTGTCCCATCTCCAAAGACAGGTATTTCATATTCTTGTCCTAGCCATGATGCCTAATAATACAGATTGTTATAATTAGTTACACATATGAAGCCAATTCACACATATCACATTGTTTGTGTTGGTATTCACAAACACCAGTTGGTATTCAGGCTCAAAGTCTTCACGGGACAAACATTTGCGACGAAAATACTGAGGTTAGGTCGACCCTCCATGTCGTGAGATAAAGCAATCAACAACATTTTAAAAGCTGTTCCCACCTGGAATAAACACCAGCATCTGGTTTTTCATTTTCCTTGCCCCACTTTGATCCAACATTACAATGGTAACTTGCCCTGGATGTAGCTCCCTATGCAGTTAGCCATAATGAGCATTCCAGAGAGCTTCTTTCGGTATTTACTTTTGGTCAGACTCAGAGACAAACGTTCGTAATGATTTGGGAAATGAATCATGTAAAAGTCAGGTGAGAGGCTTCCCCGTACTTCAACAATCCTGTATCGAAACAAGGCCTCCTTCACACACTCTGCCAAATTCACCCTAGTGAAAATGACCATCCTTCCTCTGTTTGATTACGGCGATATAATTTATAAAATGGCATCAAAGACCACCCTCAGAAAACTGGACACACTCCACCACTCAGCAATCCGTTTTTCCACATGTGCACCCTTCACCACCCACCACTGTGCTCTTTACACAGTGCGGCTACAACACTGGCTGCTCGTGGTCTATAAATCCATTTTGGGAATGACACCTCATTACCTCTCAAATCTTCTGCGCATTTCTGACAGCAATCAACTTCATTAGGCTCATCATTCCAAAAGTCCGTACTGTGTTTGGTCATAACTCCTTTCATTTTGCCGCTACAAAGGACTGGAACTCACTACAAAACACACTCAAACTAACAGGTCTCACCTCTCTCAACATGTTCAAACATAAGCTGCAACAAGTTATAGTTGACTGCTGTACTTGCTGACCAGCCCTCACTTCTCTTTCTTTCTTCCATTTTTTTACAAATAACATCCAGTAATCTGCCTTTTATTTTGTACATAGTGTTTATTATTTTATCTAGGTTGTTTTTAGTCATTTTTCCATTGTTTGTCATACTGTATTGTATCTGTGTTGTTTGTGTAACTTGTGTGGACTGTGCTACTGCCTCTTGGCCAGGTCATCATTGAAAATGAGAATTGGTTCTCAATTGATTTTACCTGGTTAAATAAAGGTTAAATAAAAAATAAATAAATAAAAATGGAGGTGGTGAGTGCAAAGTCAGCACAATAACCCTATAGAGTCACAATAGCCATATTTATGGGAAACGTGTTCGGTGTAAATGTACCGAAATTTCAAAAATGATAATGGAGGTGATTCTTTACTCTCAGATCAAGTCTGGAATTTGTCTTGAATCCAAGCACCTCCATTTGCAACATCAACTTAGAGAAAAAGACCGAATCTGAAAGGGACGGGCAGCTAATTAGATCCCGATCCAAAATAAACCTGAACAGTTAGAGACAAGACCAACACTGGCAGCAACATGAAAGAAAGAGCAGCAGAACATGTTTTCACCACTGTTTGTGTCTACTCTCATTATATTTGAGTCACACAGCTAAGCCTGTTTTTATGAAAACTAAATAGCCAGCAGTATACTGCTGTTCTGAAGGTATTTCAAAGACTCTTCTAACCATCTGAGAAAAGAATATTCTGTCTCTTGCACCATAAGGAAATGTTGTGACTCTAATTCCTAATCAGAACAAAGACGATAGCCAGAAATGAAGTTCTAGCGTAAGTACAGTCAAGAAGACTATCCTTGCATGTTTAGACTTGTAGTCCTCTCTCTCTCTCTCTCTCTCTCAATACGACTTCATCACTAGCGGCACTTTCTCAATTCCGGCTGTCACTGTCAGAGGCGTCATACACGCTATCAGCGCTCCCTCATCTTTAGCCTATCAGCTTGCTGCTGTCTCCTTTTTCAGTTGCTGCAGTTTTGTGCAACCCTCCTCCTCCCCAGCACCATCTGTCTTCGCAGATTCAGCACTCCATCAACATCTCCAGCCAACTCCACCAGAACCCTCAGCCACCCCAACCAGTGTCTGGACTCCTCGGGGGAATTCATATTGTTGCCGCTCAGGGCAATCACAACTTGATCTCAAATCTCCCCGTCGAGTTCAAGCGCCAAAGAATTTATGTGTAACTCATGAACGCATCATCTATCATAATAAACGTTAACTACTAATCATTCACTTGTCTCTCCTGATTGAAATGATATATGTCACACTGCTTACCAAAATTGAAAGTTTTATTTTCAGTTTTATTTTTCTATATTGACAAAATGGAAAAATTGCTGCCCTTTGTAGCACTATGGCAAAATAAAAATGAAAAGAACGAAAAGGAATGGAGCCATAAGATCCAGCTCCCTTCATAGAGCCGTAGTTCCCATCATTAGTGGCTTTTTCATATTAGACGTACTGACAACAGACCTGAGGAAATACAACGGGACCCTACTTGACGAATGTTGAGCCTCGGTTAGTTTATACATCCAAACGGACACCACGGGCACGTAGTAGTTCTGTTGACACTGTCGGCTTAGTTGCAGGACGTAAATTTAAAACATTAGAAAAATGACATCACATTGTCACAGACAAAAAACTAGACAAAAATGTTGTTGTTGACTAAAACCAACAAAAAATAACTAAAATGTGAGGAAAGCTAAATTTTCATCAAAAGACAATCTAAATTAAAATCAGTTCTCAGTTAACGATGTACTTGACCCAATAAGACTAAGTATAATTTGGATCTGGCCAGACTCAGCTCCCTGATTGTGTTTCAGTTTCAGTGATAAATAGACAGACAGGTCTGCATAATGAGGAGATAAAACAGATCTTGTTGATAACTAAAGCAACAGTCTACAGCTGTCTTCTAATCTCACCTTGAATAAGTAGTGGAAGACATGCTCTCCCATCCCGTACTGAAGTCCTGACGCCACCACGTATGTAGAGAACAATGTCCTGTTCTAAAAGCAACAGCCATATATGTGACAGTCAGAGCCATACCTGTCCACACATACATGTGTCTCCTGCACAAAATGCCAAGGAAGTTGAAGCTCACAGTTTTTCCAATTTTGACCACCTTCTTCTCCAGGTCAATGTGTGGTTTGAAGTTGGGATGTGCTTTTCTTCCCCAGAAAACCTCATCAGTGAAAGGGACATCCTGCAGCACAACGCAGACAACAACAATGATGCTGTTAAAAACCAAAAGTATCCAACTTCAACATACATCTGATTTTACCAGCACTAGTGAGTAAACAGAGCTGGGACATTGTTAAAAGGAACTGTAATGCATTCACTGGGGTTACTGTAAAAAAAATAGATGTATAAAAAACATATTGAAGTTACTCAGATGTTACAGCCCACAAGAGACCTGTTAGCGTCTGTACGAGGCGCACTGGGCTTTCAAGTAACTACGATGTAAACCCATCCGGGTCATTATTAGACGTGGAGATAAAAATGCTCCGGGAGTGTGATGACGTAGTATAAAGACCAAAAAAGCCACACAGGGTGGGAGGATCAAACAAACACAGGACTTTCAATCAGGAGACATGTTTGTGTCCCATGTGAAACCAACAACCTGTTGTTTGTCTTTGTGTTCACATCACGTAGTTTCACTTTCACTTTGCAGACTTAGTATTTTTAACACAAATTGTTGCAAAATAATCATGCATTTTATTATTGACAGAAAAACATATGAATGTATTTAACAATTTATCAAATACATATACCAAACACTAGCTGTTATAGCGTGAGAAATCAGATCTGCTGCTATAATTAAATAAGGTGAACATTTTTTGGCTGTTGATCAGAAACAAATGTGAGGAAAATACTCTGTGGTGTCTCTTACATGTTTAAAGACGACATGCTATATGATATGGAACTGGAGATAATAGCACAATTTTAATCAAGAGGAATAAAAACAAATAAATGCATGAATGCAGAAATACCTCCATTACAATCTGTAAAGAGGAATAAAACGTGATTCATGTTACACAAACAGATAAGATTTTAGAGTAGCTCGAGGTGCTGTATGTGTCCACTTACAGGATCGACTGGCTTGCTGCACGCCCAGGTCATCACTGTGGAGACGAGGATGAACATCTTTGATCCAGAAAAATGGCCCATTTCATTGTGGAGAGCTACAAATACAACACAAGAGGTCATTACCTAAATAATTAATTATGGAACTATTCTGTCACGACATGCAGATATGCATGTCATGTAGCACTATGGGCAAATAAAAAAGAGAGTAGTTACCATGCCTGCAGTTCCTACTATTGATGACACTGTACAGGTATGAGAGTTATTTAATTCAGACAGTTTAGTAAGTATCAAAATATAAACTAAGAACTTTAAAAAAGTCAAAGTCAAAGAAATGTCACTCTCATAAAGACAAACAGTACCTCAATGAATCATGAAAGGATAGATAATATTCATTTTGATTGAATATTAAACACCAAACCTATGTTGGCCTACATACTGTAGGTGCAGTTGTAGTCACCCATTGAAAAAGTGTGAACATTCGTAAGATAACGAACAATGAAGGGCCTGTAAACCCAGACTGAGAACTGACCTGAAACGGCCCAGAGGGCTTCGTCCACCTGCTCAGCATGCTGGGTAATGTTGTAGATGACAACGTTGCAGTCCATCAGCTTTGCAAGTAGCTCATCCCTGTTCGGTTGCTTGAATGCAAACAAGACAGTCAAGCCAATTTTATTTCTGAAGCCCACCATCACAAAGCACACATTTTGAATGGTTTAAAATTGTTGGAAAGCTGTTAAGCATTCCAACTATTGTTCTTCAAATCTTTATTCAACTTCCGACTATTTCTTCCGTACGTATTTTTGGCACTCTTCTCCTTCCACATTTTTTAAGCTACAGAAACCGTTCAAATATCAAAATGTTCAGCTCATGCCGGCTATATCTCTTCATATTTCTAATCTTTAAACTTTTTGAATTATTAAGCTTTTTGCAGATTGTTTTTTGAATGGGTTTCTATGGAGAAAATGTTCAAATCCTCTTCAAGTTTCAAATCCTTCTACTTCCTCATACTTTCAGCTACAGACACCATTTCAACTTTAAAATGTTGAGAAAACCCTGAGCTATTGCCACATGATTCAGCTTTTTGATATATTTTACATTTTTTAAACTGTCCCATTTTAACTTTTATGATTTTTTCAGTCCTTTTCTGACTTTATAATGGGTGTGTATTGCGCAGCTTAGAGTGCGTGATGTCAACGCTAGAGTGAAGAGGAGCTTGAGATCCTTGTGAAAAAAATATTTGTCTTTTGCCACTGTGTCCACAATCTTCACTCTTCATGCATAATTTGTGGATGGAGAAGTAGCTAATCTTGTCCTTGTCGTAGACAAATGACTGTGGAATCCCACAGATTTACACATTTGGCTCAAGGAGCCGCAGAGCAACATGAACTCCAACCAACTGCTCCATTAGACTCCATGTTAAATCTGACCACTCATTTCTCAAAGAAAGCAGACGGTACCAGTTTTCTATATTGCTCTGGAGCTCACATTTTTAATAATACAAACATAAAAACCACATTACCGCATTTGGCAGAGTCTTATCTCTCTCACGGTATCCATATTTTATTGATTAGTCTCATGGTTTTGGTATTTGGGCATATGTTTGACAGGTAGTTTTGTTGAAAATCACTGTTCACTCTAATCTCTCTTAATTAGCCTCTAACACACATGTGCTCCAATCACCAACCAGTGACACACATGCACCCAAGCACACAGGTGTTTATATGAGCTCATTAGTGATGTTGATAAACACACAGACACACACACGCACATACACTCCTCTCCCTCTATCTCTCTGTCTGTCTCTCTCTCAATGTGTGTGTGTCTCTCTCTCTCATACAGTCATTCAGGTCTTGGAGACTTTTAGAGCAGTGATTCTCAACTGGTGGGTCGCGACACAAAAGTGGGTCGCAGACCCGTTTTCAGTGGGCCTTTGACTGACAAAAAAAAAACAAAAGTTGCGATTTTATTTTGAAGGGCGTTTTTTCTGCAGCGGAATTATTCCAGCATTTACGGCACATGTTCAGCGGTGCAGGAAAATGAGTTGTGAATCACGTCAGGTGATGCAGCTCAGCCAATCAAATATGGGTATTCTGACAAGTTTCCTGATTTGAGTGAGATGTACACACACCGTGGGTACTTCTCAAGTCTCTTAATTGCGTCCCCGTTTCCCTCACTTGCGTCCTTTCCTTGCGTCTTAGTCCATCCAAGGGATGCATGGAGGAAACCATGCGAGGAGCGAGGAAACGACAATTAAGAGACTTGAGAAGTATCCCGTGACACACGGGGGAGAGACGAGGATACAGACAGCAGAGCAGGACTGTTGTAGTGAGAGTTGTGAAAATCAAATCATAGGACGATTACCAAAAGAGAAAAATGTCCAGAGAGACCAGAGTCATTAGACTCTGACTGGACAGAGTCATAAAAGTGAATTCCAACACTAATTTCTCTTTTTAGAAGATGAAAAAAATATTATATTATGGCTTTTTCACTTAATCCTGAATGAACTGAATTTAAAGCTGCAGATCATAATTTTTCTAAAATGAATTTTGTTACGCAATTTATTTTTTAATCCAGCCGTTATTTTACTTGAAATGAGAAGAACATTTATTTATGTATTATTTATAATCCATCCAGTTAAATTTGAAAAATTAGAATAATATTTGTTAAAATATAATTGATGTGTACTTTCTTTATTTGATTTGGCAGTTGTTTACCACACAGAGACGTTACTACTACTAGACTTCTTGAATATAGATATACCCAAATTATATATATATATATATATATATATATATATATATAAAATTTGGGTCGTGGGTCGCGGCTTGTCATTAAGGGGTGATGGTGGGTCCCGCAGCCAGACCAGTTGAGAACCACTGTTTTAGAGGACTCTAAAATGTGAAGCCTGTAATTTAATAACCTGTTTGTGTTTGTCTAACATTATGATTCTGTCTCCTCTCCCCTTCTCCCCCCCACAACCCATTTCAAAATAAAAGCCCCAGAGAACGAACTCTAACTGAAATGCTTGTGATGAAGCCTGTCATTTAATAACCTCTGTTTATGTGTGTCAAACATTATGATTATGTCTCCTCTCCCCCTCTCCCCCCCACCCAGTCCCACCCTTTCAAAATAAAAGCCCCACAGAGT